AGTTTGTTTCGCAACTCCTCACGAAAGGCGTGAATGCTAAAAAACGTCGAGGCCCACGCGTCACCCACTTGATTCCGCCAACTACCGCTGTCACCACCACGACTAGCGCCGCCGCTGTGATGACTTGGGGAACACTCGTACCGGAGGACGTGTATGCGTGGCTCGTGAAGGATCAAGGAGCACACCGTCACATCCGTGTCAGAGCTGCAGATAACGTGAGACGTGTTTGGATCGTAAGTTGACTGTGAGCGGAAACGTCGAATGGCGTCCGCTATTTTACTTTCCCCTTCACCCGGTCGCCAGACGTCATCTACAATAAACGTGATTGGGGTAACGGGGACATCTCCCCCTGTTGTGTTGCCTCGCGCGACCTGTTGCAGCTCATCCCGCAAGCGCTCTCCGTTAATGCGCTCCGCACGGCTGGCGCAGTAGAAATGCAGCGCTTCTGTCAGTCGCGACATAAAAGGCGTGCCGACGCTGATGCTGTTGCTGTCCCACTCAACGGCGTTTCTCCCACGCGATCCACCGCCGCTACGACGTCGCCGCCGGGAACGCTGCTGGGCGAGCTTGCCCATTGGGGATATGCCGTCCACAGCCAAGTACACCAAAAAGCGTGGGCGTACAAGACGCAACACGATGTCGTCAATAATGTCAAACAGTTTTCGCAAAATGGCGGCGTCAATGTCCACCGCGGATGCCTCACTGGCAGTTGCAAGGGCGGCAGCTTGGTACACCAAGCCATTGACATCAATATACAGACAATCTGCGGCTGGGCAGCTGCTGCTTGACAAAAAACACGGGGCAAAGCGTCGCTTTAGCCACGTTAGCAGCAGCGGCACCCCCATTCGTCAAAAGTCCCTACAATGCTCAGTGTTCAAACAACAAAATTTCTTCTCCTTCGGATGTAGAAATGCCACGTAACCCCCACAATTACCAAAATAAAAAAGTGATAGACGGACAGACCGAAAAACAAACAAACAAGAACAACAACAACAACAGCAACAGACATTGCGACCCTAATGAGAGCTTCCATCTCTGCTGGGTACGCAGTCCATACTATTGTTGTATGCATTAGAGATATACATACAACAACAATAACAGTAGCAAAGGAGAATAAGAGAGTAGTCGTTATTATTCAGAGAAACAACAGACAGACCTTCTCCCCCACCTCAAAAAAAAAAAAAAAAAAAAAAAAAAGCACACACTTCCGCCACTTCTTCTCTAAATGAAACTAAATTTCTCACCATGATTCTCTCTACATGGCTGTTTGTGCCTGTTTTTTCTTTTTCTTTTTCATGGCTGCAAAACACCATACATGTCCTCCAGTGTAAAATAACCATCGTCATCCACGTCACACTCCATCAGTGCTGCCTCAAGCTCAATTGTATTCATCTCTGAGAGTTGTTGAATGTCACGATCATCCGCTAAAACCTCCTCATCTATCAAACGTTGTACGACCGTCTGTATGTCCCTTACCGTGATGGCTCCATCCCCATCCGTATCCAGGAGATGGAATAGATCACGCATTTCACATTCTTTCATCTCCGCACTCTCTTCCCTCTCTAACCGCATGTGAGAGAGAATAAAGAGAAATTGAGAGAACGTTACACCCTCCATCGAAGAATCCTTGACTAGAGGTGCTGAAAGCTCCGTTTCTTTACCACTACTCAAATCCACTTTCGAGTTACCCCTTCGACGACTTGACCCGGCTTTGGCTGACAACGGGGATCCCCTCGTCTGACCCTGTCCGGCCGAAGAACTTCCTGCCGCTACAGCCTGCGACTCTGCCGCCGCCGCTTCCATCGCGCGCAGCCGCAGGACATAATCGATAGGCTCATCATTAAGGTCGTGCACCATGTCCGACACCTCCAGCGCCGACATGCGTATTCCCAAGTCGTTGAAGAACTGCTGCAGCCCCTCGATTCCTAATCTCTCCTCCATCACCTCTTTTGATTCCTTTTCGGACTCGTTGTTTTGTGCTCCCTCCCTCTTATCCTCCTCTTCTTTCTTCTGCTGGTGCTGCTGCTGCTGCTGTCCCTTCCCTTCACCGCAAAGCGTACTCTTCATGCTTACCGTGTCTGGTTCCCACACTGTTACTCCATCATTCTCACCTCCGTCTTTCTTCTCCTTCTCCTTCGCAACAGCAGGATCCTTTTCTTCTGGAACTTCCAAGTTACCCGACAAGCAGCGTTCCGTAACCTCCGGCAGAGTCATCATAGGCAGTTTCGTGGCCGTCAACGTTAATCTGCCGTAAGGCATCGTGGAACCATTCATGCGTCCTCGCCGTTGTTCTTCCATCGCAGTGTAACGCCCAAAAACCTCATACGCCTCCTTCGCAACCGCTGGGGAGATAAAGTAGCGTTGCGCAAGCCGTAACACCTCGTCCTCGGTCAAGGGCCGCCCTGGCTTCGAAAAAGTGTCTGTATTTCTGGGCTGCAGCTGCAGCTGCTGCTTCCGTTCATCCGGAACCAAATCTTGGAGGACGACTGACTCACGCTGCATCTCACTACCTCCCTCTCACAGCCTGAATGACTTATGCCCCTCTCGTTTTGTTATCGGTGCGGCTCCAAAGAAGTGTCTTCGGATAATTCCTCTTCTCCCAGTGGCCGGTGTGACCTCCACAGACAAAAAGGGGGTTGGTGGGGGGAAAACGGTAAAAAAAAGAGGGGAAAAAATAATAATAAAAAAGAAAAGAAAAAGCCAGCGGAGTAAAGACGGGGAATTCCAAAATGCAATGAAAGACACCACACAGACGGAGACACCAGTCGGCGTAAAGAGAAAAATAAAATAAAACAAAAAAACAAAGAAACAAAAAGGAGAAACGTACGTACAGAAAGAAATATAGAAAACCACCACCACCAAAAAAACATTTCTGCGCATTAGGAAGGCGTAGGCTCCAGCATGACTCCTCTCTCCTCTCACCCTCCCCTCCCCTCCTTTTCTCACAAATGGTGTGGCAACGTCAGTGACAAGGCTGAAATTCCGAAATCGTGTTCCGTCATCCGGCCTGCCTTCTCCCATCACATATTTCCGCTACAAATAAGATTCTAAGGAGAATAATCTTCCGGGCAGCTGGCCGGATCCTGAAGTTATATCTATGGAACCAAACAAGTTAGGGAAAAAAGGTTCGTTAGTTAATTGCCTCAATGTTTTATTTTCATTCAACATATAAAATTCTGTGGACCACTAGCATGGTCCTTTGTCCTCAGTTAGGATTTACGTATTATTACTTACGAAGTGGCAGACTTTGGGGTCCTCCAACCAAAAGACCCCGCCGCGTGGTGGGAACCAAAAGGGAGTGGGTGGGATGGCAAAATAAAACAAATATTATCCGGCCTCTATCGGCTCCCTGCCCCTACAAAGTCGCGTTCTTCCCAAAAGATTCATACGGTAGAAGGTATCATAAAGAATGCATTCATTTATCAGGATGTACACATACATTAATTAAGTTAGCCAGCTCTCCCGCGATCATTCTTCTCAAAAGCTCCTAGAAAAAAACCCACCCACCCACCCACCCACCAAACAAAAACACACACACACACACACAGATCTCATCCTCCTCTTTCCGTGCATGAAAACAAACAAACAAACAAAAGAGCAGCGGTGAAAGCATAGAAACCCAACGACAACGAAAACAATAGCCAGATTTACGAAGGGGGGTCTCTGTGTATATAGAGGCATAAATAAATATAAAATTAGAGAGGAAGGAGGGGTCATCACAAACCCGTTTCTGCGCCTGCTCACAACCCACGCACATACAGACACACACACACACAAAAAATCCCCATAAAATTAATTCGACGTCTCGCTTTCTCATTCTTAATTTCATTTCTTCTTTTTTTTTTCTTTTTTCTTTTTTGCAGACGCCCATGCGTTTGTGTCTTTGTAGTTGCACGCATCCAACTTTGGAATTCACACTCACAGAAGCCAAAACAACAACAACAACAAAAAAAACAGGCACGCGCACACACACACACACACAAATCCACGTGGACGAGTGGGAACACTGGAAGGGGGAGAGAAACAAAGCACACATGCATACACCCACACTCAAAATGTACATGTAGACATCCACACACCCACACACGTACAGCCACACTGAGTGGCGGTGTCGCAACTCCACTCTCCTCTCCCCTCAAGAAGAAAACAAAACAAAGACAACAAAAAAGAATAAACAACAACAACAACAACAACAACAACGCATCATCAAAAAGGGAAGATTTTGGAGGGGAGGGAAGGAGGGGCGAGACAAAAAGAGAGAAGGAGCACAGTCCAACGGGAGGTTTCAGTGCCCACAGTAAAAAACACTAAAAACGCACACAGTACAAAAGAAAAAAAGAAAAACTACAACAAAAAGAAATTGAAGAAAAAGGGCCTTTTTTTTGCCAAACATTTTGCAAATTGAGTTAAGATACATCAGTCCCCCCACCTCCCCAAAGCAACGCGTCCCGTCCGCAGGGGAAAAAACAGCGGAATGCAACGTGCAAAGCGGCAGGGATAATTGTTAAATAAAAACCAAAACAATAATAAAATCCACTCATCTGCGCATATGACAAATTCCCCTCCCCCCTCAAAAAAAAAAAAAAAAAAAAAAAAAAAAAAGAAGGGGGGAGCCACGCAAGGTGATTATATCATGCATCTTGCATTTGGAGATATTCCTCCTCCTTCTACATCAAATAGAGACTCCATTCCTTTCCTCGATAAGTTTCGCCACAATTGTTTGATCCGCAAGGGTGCTGATGTCGCCAAGGCCATCAAAAATGCCGGCGGCAATTTTGCGCAAGATGCGACGCAAAATCTTACCAGACCGCGTCTTTGGAAGTCCACACTGCGCCGGGTGGATGTGATCGGGTGTTGCCAGCGGCCCAATCACTTTACGGACAGTAGCCCTGACGGCATTGAGGAGATCCTTGTCGATTATGGTGTTCTGGTGAAATGTGACATAGACATAAATGCCCTCCCCCTTCGTATTATGCGGGATGCCAACAGCGGCGCTTTCCACAACAAGGGGGTGCGTGTTTACGGCGTCCTCCACCTCGCTGGTGCCGATGCGGTGGCCACTGACGTTCAACACGTCGTCCACGCGGCCGGTGATCCAGTAATAGCCGTCCTCGTCGCGGCGTGCACCGTCTCCTGTCATGTAGTACCCGTCTACGGAGAAGTACATCTGTTCGTAGCGCTCAGAATCCCCAAAGATAGTGCGGGCCTGCCCCGGCCACGGGCTCTTGATCACAAGGAGCCCTTCACCGGGACCGTCAATTTCCGCATTTGTCATTGGGTCCAACAGGGCAGGCTCGATACCAAAGAACGGCAGCGTTGCACTTCCAGGCTTCAGCGGCGTGCAGCCCGGCAGCGGTGTAATGAGGTGCCCGCCCGTCTCTGTTTGCCACCACGTGTCGCTGATGTCCACGTGGCCTTCGCCGACTACCCCATAATACCACCTCCAAGCCTCCACGTTGATTGGCTCCCCGACGCTACCAAGAACGCGGAGTGTCGCTCGACTCGTCCTCTTTACGGGTTCATCGTCATATTGCATGAGCGATCGAATAGCTGTTGGTGCGGTGTAAAAAACCGTGACACCATACTTATCCACAAGCTCCCACCAACGGGAGGGTGTGGGATATGTTGGTGTGCCCTCAAAAAGCACGGACGTGGCGGCGTTTAGCATGGGACCATACACCACATACGAATGGCCTGTGACCCAACCAATGTCCGCGGTGCAGAAGTACACGTCTTCCTCGTGGTAGTCAAAGCTGTACTTGAAAGTGGTTCCCGCAAACACCATGTATCCTCCAACGGTGTGAAGAATTGCTTTTGGCTTACCGGTGCTGCCGGAGGTGTACAACATAAAGAGTGGGTCTTCTGCGCCCACCCACTCTATGGGACAATCCGCCAGCTGGCTGGCTGTCATGGCGGCAACCACATCGCCATACCACCGATCACGGCCTGACTTCATTGGAATATTCTCCCGACCGTGTCGCTCATACACGAGGCATTGGATATGATGACCTTCGCTCTCACATTCCGCAATGGCCACATCCACAACCTCCTTAAGAGGAATGGGCTTCTCTCCACGAAAAGAAGAGTCAGCCGTAATGACAAGTTCGCTGGCGGAGTCAATGATGCGAGAGGCAAGCGCTTTTCCAGAGAAGCCGGCAAATACAACGGAGACCACGGCTCCGATGCGGGCTGCTGCCAGCATGAGCTGCACTGTGAATGGGATCATTGGGAGGTACAGAGTGACCACCTGGCCCTTCCGGACGCCATACTGGTGCCGTAACACGGCTGCCAACTGCAGAACAGCCTCATGCATATTGCCGTACGTCACCGAGCTGGTTTCCCCCTCTGCGTTTCCTTCCCAGTAGTAACACACGCGGTCTTTGTGCTGTGCAAGGTGGCGGTCAAGAGCATTGTAGCAAATGTTAGTCCTTGCTCCATCAAACCACTTCACAAAGACTTTTCCTTTACTCTTGTGAAAATTGAACTCCATCGCCGGCTTTTCTGAGGGCCATAAATTTTTCCAGTAAAAGTTATCTGCTGCAATCTTGCTCCAGAAAAGGACGGGATCCTTCTTGGATTCGGCGTACAGGGCCTGGCGATCGGAAATGGATTTTCCTACATAAGATTTAGCACTATTTGCCTTATAAGGCTGAACAACGTCTTTATCGTGCCGATGACGGGCCTCCTCTACTGTGAGGTTTTCCATGTCACTTTATTGTTTTTATTTTTGTATATAAATAAATAAATAAATAAATAAATAAATAAATAAATATATATATATATATATTGTTGTTCCTATTCTTCCTTGTGCTGGTTGAATTGTTGTTTATGTGCGACAGTGCTGTTTGTGTCTGTGTCTGCGTGTGTGTACTGATATGGCAAAGGGGCAAAAAAAAAAAAAGACAAATAAGAGCAAAAGGATGATTGATAAACTGGAACATAAAAGGCGCATTATTTCTTCCCCCCCCAGCTGCATTCTAAGCCACACAAACACGCACACACACACATACAAATAAACGCTTTGCTCGTATCAGCAGTATGTCTACATCCACTTATGCTTTTGTCTTTGTTCTTTTATTTACTAAAAAAATAAGAAAATCATACCGTGGACGTGTCGGCATCGGGGCATCACAGGCAATGGTATTTCCAATGAGTCGTGGCACGAGCACCACAACGACAGCTACTGCGGTGATCACCAACATGGCGTGCCACATGATGAGCCGGTTGATTCCACTGCCGCTCCCTATGGCCTCCACGCGCAGGTTGTAGGAGAACTTCCGCCATTTGTCAGGTTGAACTGGAAAGGCATTACGTGTACCGCGAATCTCCAACACAACCAATTCGTCATTCTTGACCCCATACTCGATGTCACCGTTGTCGACATCGCCATCCCCGTCAATATACTCAAAGAGCAGCTCATCCACGTGTGTCTTAAAGTGCAACATGATAACATCCGCAAGCTTCCGCCGGCCCGGGGCGAGTTCCTTCGCAGGCCATATTTTTCCCTTGATGGCAGATCTGTGCACACGCCCCACGTGTATCCGGTATTCAATGGACGGTGAGCCCAAGTGCGAGAGATGAACGAGATACCGCGTGCCCAGTTCCACCCCGGTTAACACGTACCGTCGTCGCACCTCGGTGGCCATACTTGCGGGAAATGCCACGGTGTCATTAAATCGCACCTCCCCCACTCTCAACACGTCGTATTCCCCATCATACATGTAATGAGCAGAGGCCTCCGCGCAGCCGGGAAGGACTGCAGTAAGAATTACAAAGATAATGAGCCACATGATGGAGGCCAATCTCCCTCCCCGTCCCTCCCGCTCGATGAAGGCCCACTTCAATCAACTTTCCCCCCTTTCATTGCATGTATTTTACAATACAGACAAGAGAAAGAGAGAGAGAGAAAGGAAAAACAAAAAGTAGACAGAAAGCAGGCACACGCAAAAAAAAAAAAATATAGAAAAAGAGATGCTATCAGAGCTGATGATCCCACGACAAACCAAAAAAGCAGGGCGGAGTGAAGGGCAAACAATACAACCATCCCATTTTACCACGACAAAAACAAAAATAAAGAAAAAAGGGATAAACTTTCATCAATCGCATCGTAATCATCTTTTCTGCCGTGGTCTGCGAAGAAAGCCTGGCCAGTCATCCAGTCCAAAGTCTCTTGTTTCACCCTCGGCGATGTTGCAGCCTCTTGGCCGTGGCGTCTCTCTCTTTGCAAGGCATACCATAAACGCCTCGTCACTCCCACGGCGGCTCGAAAAAGGCTTGCAGAGACTCGAACGCACAAACCACCGCTGCAGTTCCCCGCGTAATTCCTCAAACGCCGTTGGAGTACCAAGTACCTTGCAAACAAAATTCCCACCTGTTCTCAGCTGACTAGTGGCAAAAGCCAACGCCTCCATATTCAACTGCATTTGCTTCTGTCGATCGTCAGTGCCGCCAGATCCGCGATTGAGACACATATCTGACATCACCACATCCACCAGCCCATTGGCGTGAACATTTTCCATCCGCGAAAGAAGTTGCTGCTGAATCGCCATGTCTGTGAAGTCGCCCTGAATGCACACCGCACCCGTTACTGTGGGGGAAACGTGCAGCAGATCCACACCGAAAAGTGCACAGCGGTCTCCACAGCGTTCACGTGCCACCTGCAGCCAGCCACCGGGGCTGCAGCCTATGTCCACCACAACGCGTGTGTGATTTCGGGCAAACAGCCCAAATTTGTCGTCCATTTCTAGAAGTTTAAAGGCACTACGGGCGACGTACCCGCGTCGGCGAGCCTCCAACACAAACGGATCGCGGGCCTGCTTCTCCATCCACTGCCGCCCGCCCTGGCGCAAATACTTCCAATTCCCATGAAGCATAAAGCAATTATCGCTTTTTTTTTTGTGTGTCAGTCTCCTCCCACTTTGTGTGCTTGCAGGCGTCACGCACACCGAAGGGATGCCCAGGAAAGTAAAGTAATTGTGTGATTTCTCCCTCCGCGATGCCTACGCGCGTGAGTGAGTGAACGACGGCCCTCCTCCAAGCAACCACCTGGCACACAGAAGTACACACATATCCAATTGCACACCAAAAGGACAAAGGGAAAGAAAAAATAAAAAAATAAAAATAAAAGAGTTTTACTTGCGCAATGGAGGCGGGATTCCACGTCACTCTCGTACGTCATCGTATGAGTTGGGCGGTTCCATTCCAAAGTGGCCTCTCGCCTACTCCGCAAGGAGCGTCATGAAGAACAGTCACTCTCCAAAGTCACACCAAAGAGAGAAGAAAAAAAAAAACAACCAGACGGTACGCATATTTACAAAAGGATATGGATCACAACAACAACAACAACAACAAAATAATAATCATGTCACCATCGTTGTTTCACAGCACATGTTGCATCCCCCAGATGACCTTCAGCTCCGTCGGTGATCCTCCGTACGTCATGGTGAGTTCTTCCCCATTCTCGATATCCCGCAAGGAGCGCAGGCAAATCACAGGTTCGTGGGCAGTGGGGGTTTTCTCCGGGACCATCAGCGCCACATTCTCATGATCGCTGTGATTACACATATCAATCACAGGACAGAGAAACACAATGGGCTCCTTCACAAGATTCTCATCGTCATCCGGCCCAGTGATGTCAAAGGCATCCACAAAAGGTGTCCCACTAAAAGCGTGCCGCAACGTCCAACGATGGTCAATTGGGGCCATGCGACTAAATATCATCGACAATGACCACAGAAGCAGCGGTCTCACTTCGGCTTGCGTCACTTTAAAGAACGATGCCAGAGCCGATTGACAAACCTGACATACCTCCACACTGTCTAGAGCGCCACTCATGTTGCACATCAGTTGCTCAAAATCGCCCTCATTGCGGGGCATAAAATTCACGTATTTAAGTGCCTGAGATCCCTCATTCACATCGTTACGGAGGATAAGATACGACATGTAGGTGGCAAGAAGGAATTGGTTATGCCGAATAATAGAGCGATCTGCCAGACGGCTGTTTTCAATGAAAGGCCGCCGTAGAAAATACATCTCCCTCTCCCGCAGCGGGAGCAAATCAAAAAATTGTTTGTCCCGCAGTGCCGTTCCAGGGTGAAGAGAGGCTCGTACGGAAAGCATCACGACGTTTTCATCCTTCTTTATTTCTTTGTTGGCAATAAGGCCACGCAAGCCGCCACGCTTTGTTGTGCCTATGCGACAAAGACCCCGCGTGATCACCTGATGGGCTCGACAGTACTCCACAAACTGCCTTGCCTGCTCTTGCGGGGTGAGAAGAAGACGCAGGAGGTGCCTGTTTTCATACACCGGCATTATTCTACAGTTCCGCCTTTTTTTTTTTTTTGTGTGTGTGTGTGTGTCTTTGAGATATTTCTCTTTATGCCCCACCTTTCAGACCCCGCTCTTGAAGAAATACGTACCGACTACAACCCTTTCCTCCCCTTCCCTGTTACACACAGACACACACACACAGAGAGAGAGATCCCACTTTTGGCATCAGGCACACAATAAATACAGCAGTCAACACCCAGTCACCGGCAGCACCAACCAGAAAAGATAGAAAGAGATGCGCAACAGCGGATGTAAAACCAACACATAAATACACAACCAAAAAAAAAAAAGAAAATAAATAACATGCTACCGCAGAGAACAGTCCACCGAGCATGTTTAAAGAAAGAAAGAAACAAAAAAACGAGTGTTCCAATATGATGGTAGATGTGTCTTCTTTTATGGGCCAGGAACTTTGGTTTTTTGAGCTGCCCTCGCCCTTTCTGTTAAGGCAGCCAACTGAGCCGGTGACAAATTAAAACACTCGAGGTCAAGTTTTTCCCGCTCTTCATTGGGCATCTTTTCACGCTCCACCCCGGCGTCGTAATTTTCCTGCAGCCGAGCGATGCGTTCGGGGTTTGTGGTGAAACGAGGCTGAGACATGGGCATGGCTGAGCGGCTGCGTGTTTGTACGGCGCACTGGTGTAGATAGTTTACCTTTTTTCTTTTTTTGGGTTCCTTGTGTTATTTCCCTGAAAAACAAAAAAAAATATATGTCCATGTTTGACGTTTTCACAAAGCCCACATGATAACAAAACAAAAGACACAGCGAGAAAGGAAAGGAAGAAAGAGAGAAAGAGAGAGAGACAACACATTATTCGGAGTGCAGAGAAGACAAGAAGGGTACACTGAGTTCAGTGGGGCACACATACAAGCAGGGATGTGCGTAGACAGATAGAAAAGACCTCTGCCATATATGTATATATTCCTACCATCACCATTATTGCTAGTAGACGTACGGTATGACAGCCTTGCGTCGCAGTGTATCGTAGGCACCACCAAACTGTTTCTTGTACCACTCGTGGTGCGCGTAACCGCGCGGGAGCAGGTTTGCCATAACGTAAACCGAAAAACTGAAAGCCGCCAGACCCGACTCCGGCTTTGTCGTGGCTGTTGTTGACCACACAACAAGGGAGTAGCCGCACCACTCCACAATTTCCCCAAAGAAGTTGGCGCAGCTCACGTATTCAAAAAGTCCTCCATGTGGAATTTTACGCGAGTGCCTCGGTGGCTGCTTCTTAAGGCGCACGAGACGGTTGTCGGACAAAACATTCACCCCCATCCCAGCAAAGAAGAGAACGATTCCAATCCAAAATAACGCCATATGACTTGTAAATAAGAGAGGGAAACGAGGCGCAGAAGGCCCGTCACGAATATTTGCCAACAGCTGAAGACGACCGTTGAGTAGACAATATACTGCAGCACTCAACGTTATTTTAATTGGAACCGGAGCTCCTTCGCCTATGATCAAAGGGTACAGGAAAGTCCGGTGCAGGTAATGAATGACAAAAAGTAAGAGGCCCACATGGAGAGATGTGATTCCTTCTGAGATCGCATGAGCCGCCTGTCCAAACGGATCATCAAACACAAGACGTATCCACTGGCTGCTGCTACATTTCAATGCATGACACGGGTACTCCATAAGAAGATAATAAACGACGTTTATCAGCGTCGGGCACTCCTGCAGCGCCCATGAAAGTGGTGCTGGCATAGTAACATGTGCAGTTGTACTCGTCGCATGACGACCAAATGGAGCGACTTCAACAAAACGCAATGTAAAATAAGTCATGGCTGCCATCACAAGATGAAAATAACTTGCTGACTCAATGACTGTTGTACTACCCAAGGGCAATACGTATTGCTGGAGCAGAACCATACATACTGTTGTGATTAGAAGAAACACCACCGCGACCAAAAGCCACGCCCATGTGGACGAGAGATTGCCACCATGTCGCTTTAGCATGTGATATGCGTCTTTCTGCACATGTATACACAAAGAGAGAAAAAGAAAGAGATCACAGGGCAAAAATCAAAGAATAGAATGAAGGAAATTCAACCTTCCTTTAATTACCACAATGTGACTGGAAAAAAAAATAATAATACCAAAAATAAACAAAAAGAAATAAATAAAAATAAAAAACAACCGCGCAAATATAAAAATATATATATAAGAAACCACCACCACCACCACCACAACAACAACAACAACAGGAAAAAAAAAAGAAAAAAAAAGAAAGACGCATCCTACTCCGGTAAATAAATATATTTACTATTGAAGCCTACCTCCCCAGTATCCATATATATGTATATATATGCTCTGCAACCAGAATTCACATTGCTAACCACCGCCACCCCCTTTATCCCTCAACATCCCTAAGCGTAAAAGTAAAAAACAAACAAACGAAAAATAACAACAACAACAACTATGCAACAAGCTCCACTTTGCTCCATTCTTTAAAAGATTCCAAACCATTTTCTTGACAAATCTGAGCCGTGTTTTAAGTTGTACTCCTTCACTTTATTGTTCTTCACGTCCGGCCCGTAGCTCTCCATCGAGTTCTGGTAAAGAAACCGAAGCTTCGCCGATGACACATTCAAACACTCGAGGTCAAGTTTTTCCCGTTCCGCCACGGGGATCTTTTCACGCTCCACCCCGGCATTGTAATTCTCCTCCAGCCGAGCGATGCGTTCGGGGTTTGTAGTGAAACGAGGCTGAGACATGGGCATGGCTGAGCGGCTGCGTGTTTGTACGGCGCAATGTGTCTACAGTAGATGTGTATGTTCCTTCTTTTTTTTTTTTTTTTAGTAGTGGTTTGTCCAAATCGTCCCAAAACACACAGGAAGGAGGCCACATAAAATAAAGGGCAAAGGAGACAGAGAAAGAGAGAGTTATTGTTGAAAAGACAACCGTGCACCCGGTGAAAAAACACGCATATGGCAGAATGGCAGGCACACAAACAGAAATACACATAAAGAGGAGGAGACGATCTATTCGAGCAGAAACAACACCCAAAAGCTCAGATGTATACTCCTCTCGTTGCCCTCTTGTACAAATACACACATTCCCTCCCCCCCTCTCTCTCTCTCTTTTTTTTTTTTGCTCTCTATGCAATAAGCTTACAGTCATTCACCATATTCAATTGAACATGCCTCAAAAGCAATGAGATGCACAGAGACATAACCCCCGTCTCACCTTTCCTTTTCAATCCTCTCTCCTTTCATACACACACACACACACACACACAAACAGTGTACATAAAGGATTGTTTTAATGAGTCATTTCAAACGGCGGCAAAAAAAAAAGAGAGAAAAAAAAAAGGGAATTCAGATGTTGTTGGGGTGTTGCCATCAACCACAAACAACAAAAATTCCCTCCCTTCCTTCCTTCCTTCCTTCTTCCTCGGTTTTTATCAGTCCTTGTTTTATACATGCTTTCACACCACAAGAAGCGTTTATTTTTTTTTGTCTCTTATTCCCCTGGTCGCTCATTATTTCGGATTTTAAAAAATACATTCCTTTTCTTCTCTTCTTTTTTTTTCCCTCTCTTTTCCTTTTTCCTTTTTCCTCTACTCCTCGTCACTCTCGCCGTCTTCATTCATTAAATCAGAAATGACAATTTTTTCATCCTCATCTACTTCTATCGTTGCGTCAGCACACATGAACCGAGCGACGAGGAGGAGGAGAGCAGCCACAACAGCCACCCACAACGCCACCTCAATAGCCGTCTTGTACAGCGGCAACAGCGACGCAAAAGGCGTCTTCTCATCCTTCGCTGAGAACCAAAATGTTTTTTGCATCACTCGCCTCACAAACGGCAACTCGTGCAGTACGGCGGCAAAATAAGGCTGTGCCAGTTTGCCAATGACTAATGCTGGTGCATATGTCTCAAGTGGCAAGCGAATGAGCATGGCAACAATAAGACCCGCCTCGATCACCCCATTGGGAGTGGCGATACACAAAACAAGTAATCCCCAACCAACGTGTGTTGAGAAAAGTCTCCGCGTCAGCGTTTTACGCGTCTTATCCTTGCTACCACGCATGGCTTCTACAAAGGAGGTAAGCCGCGGGGGGGACACTAGCAGGCGCAGCAGCAACAACTCCACAAAAATACCACCCAATGCGTAGAAGAATTTTTCAACGGGATGCGCCGTCACAGCCGTGAAAAAACGCGTCATTTGAGCACTTTTCCCGGACGCCTCTTCCGATGACAACGACGCGTCAGTGTCGGCATCCAAAACGCCTGGCATGGAGCCGAGTCCATGTCCCACCAACGCGACGGCGGTTGCTCCCGCAAGAAACTGACGGACGTGAGGCCGCAACGTGGGAGGCACGGCGTGGAGGACCTTCTCGCTCGCGTATCTGCTCAGCATCAGCCCGCCCTTCGCAACATCCACAATGGACGCGGCAACCGTGTCAGACATTGTCGCACCCGCGGCAGGACGGGTGATCATTGAGGCAACAACAAGAAGTGTGACACCAAGAAGCGCGCAGTAGCCGCAGCAGCGGGAAACCGTGTGAAGCATCATATGACCGTACGTAATGTGCGCTGTTCTTCCCAACCAAACTTTCCTCCTCCGCCACCGTCACCGCCGTCGCAAAGAAAAAAGAAAAAAAAAAAAAGAAAAAGCAAGCCACAACAAGCAGTGATAAAATACATATATAAATATAAAGCGAGAAAGAAAAAAAAAATAGAAAAAAAAGTATTTGGGAGATTACACGACGCACATCCCCTACGCTTCCCACGCAAATTTAACTAACAACAATAATAAAGAACACGAAGAGATGCAAAGAGAAATATACCGCGGAAAACAAAAACAACAACAACAAAAAACGGAAAAAGAAGGAAAACCAGATTATATTATAAATAAATAATTACATGCATGTGGAGGGTATAGAGAGTCACGCATGCAACACGCCCACAAAGATATCACCAACATCGCACCGCCAACACTTTCCCCTCACACGCCCCGTCGTGTAGACCAAAAAACAACAGCAACAACACCTGACAAAACGGGGCGAGAGGAGTAAAAGCGTGAAAAGGGTTAAGAAATAAGACAGAAGGGGGGGGGTGGGGGTAAAAAAGTAAAGAAAAGAAAAGGAAGCAATCATATTAGAAATAATGAAAAATTCGCTCTTTTCTTTATTTTTCCTCTTCCTTTTATGTCTCCTCTTTCCTTCCTTCTGCCCGTCCGTCCCTCTCATTCACTTTTCTCTCCCAATCTCCATGTGTACCTTCATGCGGTATCCGTAACAAAGCAGAGAATGAGATGTACACATGAATTTCGTCTTTGCCACCACAGGCACAGAGACACAGAGACAGAGAGACACAGAGACAGAGAGGGAGAGAGACACCCTCCCTGGTGGTCACCGACAGCATCCGTACTATTGCTGGGGAAAAAGAAAACAAACAAACAAACAAACAAACAAAGAGAAAGAAAGGGAACACCTCCTCCCAATTTCTAGTTATCAACGAGCGCTAATAAAACTTCAAGCGACACTACTTCCAAAAGGGGAAAAAAGAACAAAAAACAAAACAATAACATCCAACAAAAATAGGCATAAGTAAACATATCTCTCTCTCTTTATATATATATAAACTTTCCTTTCTTGCCTCTGCCTTTTCCTAATTTCCATTTTCAGATTCTGCCCTTGAGTCATTGATTATTGGTTCACATGTTCCCCTCTCTCTCTCTCTCTCCCTCACTTTGCCGCCTTCCACATCCCCCCCCCTTTTTTTTCCTTTTTTCTCTTCTTTGGCTTCACCCGTTCGGAGCTCCCATTCTTGAATAATATACGACGGTTGTGTATTTATTGCAGTACCGCGTCGTTAATCCCATGACGGAGTGGTCCTCGCGACGCTGAAAGTAGACGTGATTAATCGTCACATTTAACGGTAGCGGAAGATTTTCTGGCGACATGATTTCACCTGCTGACGAAATAACGCCGTCACGTGTGCAACGGACAGCGGTGGGCGGTGTGTTGAGTGGTGTGTAACGCAAATGCACTGGCGCGATAGGTGGATAATTCCTTGTCTCTACAAACATCTCGTGATTTTGTCCCCATCCCTCCCCGTCATCAATGATCTCCTCGTCCTCCTTGGTCATCAAGAGCACTTCATTGAGCTGCAGAATATTCGCTGGAGGATCCTTCGACCCCTCTTGCGGAGGTTCGGCAATAGCTTGTGTGCTGTCGATAACCTCCTTGTCCTGAACGAGGAAACGATATCGGTGACTGCCCGGGGTAAGTTCAAGAATGGCGTAAAAGGAATCTTCGCTAGGCGCCATCTGCACTGGACGCCACCCCAACGTCTCTACCGTTACGTAAACATTCTGCTTCTTAGTTAGCAGCTGCTTGGCATCCTTGTCGGCGTAACGCAGTACGACGGGGTACTTTTTCTGCTTCGCAAGAGCCTCAGCAGCAGCGGCGGCAGTGGCAGCAGCGGTGGAACCAACAGCGTGCGTGCCATCGTGCCCCATCGTCGTGCCGCCAGATGAGGTGAGTGTTACCTCCGTCATAGGATCGCGGTACTGTGCTGGTTGCTGCAGGATGTTTTCTCGCATGGTCGCATAACGCGATCCACCTTTTTGACCACCGGAAGTGTTTCTATGATTCGCGTCACCAACAACAGGGGCGGTGTCAACTCTGACTTCGCGCCTCAACAACTTTGAATCCCTGGCATTTTGTTGGCCCATTGTTCCTTTTCTTCTTCTCCCTTCTTTTGCCTGGAGTGCGTGTCCGCTCTACACCGGGAGGAAGAACACTGCCGTCGCCCCCCCTTTTTTTTCTTCTGTTTTTTTGTTCCGCACCGCCCTTTCCTCTCCTCCCTTCTCCCCCTTCAGACGGGAGGTGTTAGCGTCTCCCTCTCCCTCTCGCTCCTTAATTCTTTTTTATTTTTTTAAATTTTTTATGTGCGTTGTTTTTTTTTTCAATGATTTGACGCTTTCCTTCTTTCTTTCTTTTTTTTTTTTCCCCTTTCTTCGTTTATTTATTTATTTTTATTTTTTTATTTTTTGTTTTTGCAGCGACTTTTACTTCTTTTTGTGTCGTCACAACCCTCCAGCGAACAAAAAAACAAAAACACACGAAGAGAAGTGCACGTGGGAGGGCGGCGGTCTCGTGGCGCTTGTCAACATCAGCCAGCCAGCCAGCCAGCCAGCCAGCCAGCATCAGTAGCAAGTGACTATTGATATTATTACAATTATTATTTTGTGTGGGCACCACCAGTCGCTCCGTGCGCCCACGCAACGGTCGCTGAGCTTCTTCACTGTACATTGTGCTGAGAGCACACGAAAAAAACAACAAGAAAAAAAGGAAAACAAAAAAAGAGGCCTAATTGAGGGAGTATAGGAGCAAGCCCAGAATGGGTGACGTGGTTCCAGTAAAAAGAGCCGCATTATTAACAGAGAGAAACGCTTCCTACGCACAGGCTCTCCTCCTAGGGACGGGCAAAAGACAAGTGTCCACATGGCGTATGTTTGTCACTCAATGGGATGTAATTTGCCATCCATCTTCTGCTGCCTCGCAAGGAGTATGGCGCGCTCTCTCCCAATCTGCTCCTCCATTTGTTGCAAAACTGCCATGCGCTGCGCCGTGTAAGCCGCATCACGATACGCCGTTATGGGTACGCGTGATTCCCGCATTAACGTCTGCAGGGACTCTTCCTGTACACGTCGCATAATGCGCCGTATCGAGGGGTAAGGCTCATTGTACACCAGCCGCCATCCCTCCACTTCCACCTCATTCCCTTCCGTGGCGCCAGCAGAAATCGCAACGGCGGCGGCCTCCGTACACGGCGTTGTTTCATCCGCCGCATGGGAGGAGTGAGAAGCGCATTTGGCGTCATCCGCACCTTCTGTCGTCTCCTTGATGTAATCATCTGGCATGCGCATTGCACGCTGGCGGAGTAGATGCTGCCGTGCGTACGATATGCGGAATCGCTCTAACAATCGCAAGCCCATTCCTTCCATGCCTCCTCCTTCTTCTTCTTGTTGTTGTTGCGCTTCCTCTTCGTCATAACTTTCATTTCCTTTTTCTTTCGTGTCGTCACCCCCGTTATTGGTTTCCTCACACCCACACAACTCAATGGGATCACCGTCCTCCGTCTCGCCAAGCACCGCGGCAATTTGCCTGCGATACTTGACGAACAGTTCGCGCCGCACCTGATCCGCCTTCAGGAGACTCATCCACTTCTAAATTCTTCTCCGCACCGTGCCACATTGACAATAACACACACAAAAAAAAAGAAAAGAAAAGAAAAGAATGACAAAAATAAATAAATAAATAATGCAAGGATGTGTGTGTGTGTCTGGGGGTGCCGTCACTTTGGATCCCATGAACGGACTTTTATTATTTGATTCCTTTCCTTTTTTTCCTTTTTCTTCTTCCCTCCTTTACCATACACGTCTCCCTTTCTATTTCTTTCTTTCTTTCGTTTTTTTTTTTCCCGCAGCAATTTTCTATACCACGTAAATCATATGGAAACGGTGGTTGGGCCCGACAAGGAATACCTGCACGGAACTGTCTCTGTGTGTATCCCCAGAATGAATGAGGGGAAGGATGAAAGGAGCGAAAGGCCACTGTCACCGTCAGAGCATTCACCCACTCACACATCTCATCACTTCTAGGAAAGGGGTAACTGTAGGAGTTAAATGTGCATGTCCATACGTATTTTGCAACGTCTTTTCCTTTCTTTCCTTCTTTTTTTTTTTTTTCCCGTTTTGGTTGTTTATTGTACTCACCGCATGCAACAGTGGTCTGAAAGCATTCATCAAACAGCAGCAGCTATTTTTGTGTGATATCATCATTCATCTTTACCCAACTCTCTTTCCTTCTGCCCCACAAGGGATGAATCCACGTGGAGGTCAAATTGAAGGCCAATCACTTCCGAGAGCTTCTCCACCTGTCGAGCACTAAGTAACGCAAGAGAACGCATGGACGGCAGCAATGCAAGTTGATCCTCGTGATGCTGCACCAACTCCAGTGTTCCAAGTGCTCCTTTTTGAAGTGCCTGCAGCGCATCATGCGCCTGGCAGAGTTGCCCCAGTAGAAAAAGCAGTACGCTGTCCAATCCGGTCAGTTCATTAGCAGAAACATCGGAGTCTTGGAGGAGCGACGTCGATGCTGCCTCCTGCACAAAAAGTGTCACGCAATGCTCTATGCTCTCACGAAGCGTGTCGAATGCATCGGCGGTGGAGCACGCGGTAGCATCCGTCTTGCTCTCCAACAAATCTATGCGTTCGTTCAGCTGTGCCTTCCACACCTCATGTTCATTCATATTATTCTCAGGGTCATCATTCTTGTCGTCGTTTTTCGTGCCAATATGATTTTCTGCGAACTGCTGGGCAGCGACTGTCTTGGCAACTTCACGCTGCAGCACCATTTGATCCTCTTGCAAGTTTTGCAGAGTAGACAGCATGGAGTGTGTCTGCAGCTCCACTTCCACAGTAGCGCTCTGCAGTGCCTTCAGGCGCTCATCAAATTGCACCGTAAGCTGCTCCATTTCCCTCTTGTGGTCCTTACGACTTTCTTCCTGCCACCGCTTACTCGTCTCCACCACCTTCTCCTGCTGCAACTCCAAAGACGCCAACCGCTCGGCGTGAAGGCGCTGCGATGACTCATAAGTCTCCATCTGCCGGGTGAACGCATTTCCGTGTGTGTCGCAACGGGCTTCCAACTCATGGAGATGCTGCTCTGCTTGCTGAACCCTCTGTTTGACACGAGCTATGGAGTCATCCGTGTCCTTGCGTGAAGCAAAGGCACCCTGCAACGCCTCTGCCACCTCACTTAGAAGCTCTTTTTCGTCTAGGATGGCAGACACAAGACGCCTCGGCCCGAGTACCTCACGTAGGCGGTCCATCTGCAACTGCAGGCGTTGCATTTCTCTCTGTGACGCTTCCTCCACTTGTTGAGAGCGGTTTTCTGCCTCCTCGCTAAGCATCAGACGCAACTTTTGCATCTGTGACGAGGTATCTTCACGCAAACGATGTAAGAGCTGTTTGAAGCGGTCCACCTCCTCCTGCATGCTCGCACGCATGTGGTGCTCCACATCCTCCCTTTCATTGACAGCGTTTCTCTGAACATCATCCACGCGACGCCGCAAGTTCTCCAATTCCCGTTCCAGTTTTTCATGCGTCAAGACGGATACCAAAGGCTCGGACGGCGAAGATGGTGATGACAATCTCTTTGCATCCTGAGCTACCTGACGCGCCACCGTGTCCAATCTGCCCCCCAGTTCCACTACCCTTTCAGTCAGCCCCTCCGAAATTACGTCCAGCGCATTTTTGGAGGCAAAGCGTTCATCGTGTGTCTTTACGGATGCATTAAGCCTATCGATGAGTGCTCTTAGTCCCGTAATTCCCGTGCTGCTCTCCTGCTGGGTGTCACGCACAGCCTGAAGAACGCGCTCTTCCACGCTCTGCATTCCGACAAAAAACTCACGCCGGAGGTCTGAGATCTGCCGAGCATCCGTCTTCGCCATGGAGGAGGCGTTGGCTTGAAGCTGCTCGTGAAGCGTTCGCAGCTCCGTTACCGCCTGAGAATTTTCTTCTAGTTTCACCACACACACGTCCTGCACGGTTCGATGCACCGCGTCTACCCGTGCACTCAGCGGTGGCAATGTACTCGTGCACCTACTGCTTAGTTCGTCCAGCGTCACACGCGTGGCGGCGTGGTGTGCCTCAGCCGCAGCTAACTTCTCGTTGAGCTGACGTATCTGCACGGTGCTCTTTTCATGCTCATGTGAAAGCTTCTGCAGCTCCACGCCGATGCGGGCAAGCCCTTCACGCGTTTCATCCTCCGCCTTCTGCGCGCATGCGGCGGACTCCTTCGCAAGTGCACGCGCCTCCTCGCTCGCTGTGAGGGCCTCGCGGAGACGGTCCCCCCACTTCTCCACGTCTCCCTTTGCGCTTGTCGCGAGTTGGTCGACATGAACGATCTGGTGCCGCATCTCCTCCGTGACATCTTGGAGACCATCCAGTCGCTTCTCCAACTGCGCTACTCCCTTGCGATACTTCTCGGCAGCGGCATCATGCGCACGCACCGTTGCTGTGAGTCGATCACAAATGGCGCTGCACTGCTGCTCAAGTCGCTCCTGCGAAGCCGTCACGGCCGCAAAAACGTCATCTTTGCTCGCTGTGCTCTTGCATGCCACGGCGATGCGTTCCGCCACTGTGGACTCTAACGCAAGTTGGGCGGCAGTCATACGCTCCTCACCAGCCTGTGCGTTCTTTGCGATGCCATCTCGCATCTCACGACGTGATGCCTCCAACTCCCGCTCTAACATTGTCACCTTCTGCACAATGCGACTTTCCATGTCGTTAAGGACCCTCTCGTGCTGCCGGCTTCCGTGCGAGATGGCATCGACCGCGGAGTCAAGCTGATCCACACGCCGGAGGACATCCTTTTCCATTTGGTGAAACAATCGCTCCGTGGCTTGCGCAACTTCTGCGGTAAAACCGCTGGACTCCATCACTTTCTGCAGCTCACCATTAAACATACTCTGCACGGCTGTAAGGCGTAGTCGCAGAAGATCTTCCATTGAATCCCTGGCGGCTTCCCGAGCAACAGAGCGCATGCGCTCCATTCCAGAATCAATTTTCACCCCCACCATCTCACGAAGAACGCCATCCAGTCGTGTTTGCCGATCCTCCAGCAATCGCTTTTGTCGTGTCACGGCGGATTCCAGCTCCTCCACGCGCTTGACAAGATCGGAGGAAGTGGAGGCAGCGACCGCAGGGGTTGACGTGGTGGGAGTGTGGACATCAACACCCGCCTGTGTACGCCCAGTCGGTGTAAATGTGGAGGTGGATAACAGTCTTTTCTCCAGCAGTCTGACGGTTTCTGTCAGGTACTCATTTTCCCTCTTGAGCTGCTGAAACATGGCCCGCATCTCCCCCATCTCAATGGAGAGGTGCCGCTGCACATCGCGGATTCCGTCCGAGCGGACGGCTTGCTCGGTCTCAAGCTCCGTTAGACAGTTCTTCACCTGGGACTGCAGGCAGTTTACCTTGTCCTCCAGCTCAGCCTGTGATGAGATAAAACGTGGTGGGACGTCTAGCGACGACACGTGAGGGGTGTCGAAGGCTGATGATAAAAACTTCCGTGCATTTTCGTGATTCGCCTGACGCTCATTAAGACGGTGCAGCGCTTCCTCCGAGGAGCGGATTTTCTCCTTGAGGGTCGCCCTCCAGTCACCACCCGCACAGTTCATTCGCCGCGTTCCGTTGAAATGCACCTTGCAAGAAGGGAGAGGTGGGATGGGGGTTAGGGGGTGAAGTGGATGCAAGGAAGAAATGCATGTATGCATACACGTATGAAAAAAAAAAGAAAAATAAAAATAAATGAACAACAAAAAACACATCTTGACGTGTATGTACACAACGGGTAATTCATACGTCACCGTCCATCTCCTCTTGGCTTTTTTTTTTTTTTTTTTAATTCCTTTCGGCGTACACTCTCAAATGCATGCATACGACCATCACACAAAAGTGTGGAGCGCAAAACACACACACACACACAGAAAAAAAAACAAGAAGGTAGGAAGGGGTTGCAACACCCTCCAAAGAGAAACCAAGTAAAATAAATAAATAAAAAAAGCAAAAAAAAAAAGAAAAGGAAAAGAAGGAGAAAAAAAAGACATAATTAGTAAAATAAAGGTGCTTACAGTGACCTTTACCGCCCTGTGAAACTTCCCTTTCTTCTTCCTCTTCTTCAGTTGGACGACTGAGATGATGCGGCTGGTAGTGAAAAAACAAAACAAAACAAAAACAAAAAAAAACCTGGCACTGCGGGAAATGACACGAGCGGCCTTCACATGGAGAAGATGTCGTCTTCCATGAATTCCGATCCCACTGCACACCGTGCCGTTCCGGCCGTGCCTCGCAGCGTAACATGCGGCCGTTGGGAGTTACAGACATATGCTGCCCCTCCTCCCTTCAAAATCATTCCCTCCTCGTTTTTTTCTCCTTCTCTTTTGCATGGCGTCACAGACGGAGAGTCCGCGCCAAGCACAAGTCCATCCGTGGAAGAAGGAGCAGCAGCGTCAGCAGCGGAAGCAGACCGCCGCAGGCAGGATTGATTGTGAATGGGCGTGCCTCCCAAAGCTGGATGTTCCCCGACTCTTTTTTCCCTTTGCAGAATTGTCGTCGCGTCACGAATCGCTGTTGCCACGGCTTTTATCTCAGTAGTGAGCCCATGGAGAGCCGTCACCTGCGCCTGATGACTTTCGACCAGAGCAGAGAGGTGGGAGAGGCTATGAGAATTGGCAGCCAGATGCTTTTCCTGATGCTGCAGGAACTGTACCAGTGAAGAAAGTGCCGATGCAGTTTCCTTATGATGTTGTGATGACTGAGAGAGTGTGGCCTGAAGCAAAGCAGCATCACCCACCTGCGCCTGTGTGGGCGGTGCCGTCGTCGTTATTGGCGCCACGGGCGTTGCCATCTGTGAGCTCCGTGACGGCTCTGACGCGGGTGGAACCGCCAGACACGACCGCCGCATCGTCGCCGGAAGCGGGTAGACGTTTCCAGCAGCTACGGAATGACATGAGGGTGCGCCGCAGCGCACTTGTGTGGTCCGCTGCGTATAACCTTCAGCCTGTGTCCCCATTGGTGTATTGACAAATGAATCACACGGAGTGTTTGCGGCGTGTCTCTCCGCTGCGGCACCCCCGCGACGCAACTGCGCCACTCGATGATGTGCACCGTACATGTGACGTTGTTTTCCCCCCTTCCGGCTTGTGCTTTTTTCTGCTGCTTTGCTGGTCCAATCCCGCCACAGGAGAAATTTGTCAATACAAAAGAAAGTGAAATGCAAGAACAACAACAAAAGGATAAATTCCCCCAAAACATCCAGCCCTCATGACACCACGACACACATACAAGCAGACAGAGAAACACCACATGGAATGATAAAAGGATAGGTGTAAAAGCAGAAAAAAAAAAAGGATAAAAAATGAAAGGAGAATATTCACCCGGGCGGCTGGCCGAATCCTGCAGTTCATCAATAGTAGAAAACTAACCAGATAGGAATAAGAAAAGGAATAAATGGAATAAGAATGGATCCATCATATCCTCAAAGTGTAACAGCAGGTAAGTGTATATATGTATATCTATATATTCTAGTGGCCTGCTCACTGTATTCGGGTGAGATGTGTAGGCATATATATATATATATATATATATATATATATATACCTGAATTAAGTTCGTTAACTCTCCTCTGCGATCATTCTCTTCAAAAGCTCCTATAAAGATACCCACAGAAGGTGAAATCCGTTCTTACAGTGGACGGAATGTGAGCGTCTCACGTCCCGTAAACCATGACCACAACTGCTGTGCCACATACTTGATGCGTCGACAGCGTGGAAGCGACGGTGGACCAGAAATTTGCGGCGACACCAGAGGTGGCTCCCCATCCAAACGGTTGGGTCGACCCGGGAAGACGATCCACCCACGGCACTCGACATCGGGGTCACGGATATAATACCGACCATCAACACATTCCAGCGGAAACTCAGCTGAAAACGTGTCCTCGCCCCAATCATGAAAAAAGCGGTTTTGATCGGCTACATATACATTCGTCGATGTAACGTGTGTGATGAGGCCCACGTGACCCACAATGTTTTTCCTCGAACCCGGGTAAACAATCAGGCTGTCGGCCACCGGGGGTTCCTCTGAGCCCTGCGGAATGAATTGACACGGCACCGCAGTGCCCGTGCACACGTCCTGCACCTCCCGTAGATGGATCAATTGGGCGGCAAAATCATACTGCGGCAACGCCAAACCCTTGCGGTAAAACAACCAACGTCTAACAAATTCCACACACTGCCACTTATAACCCATAAAGTAATGCTGCACATAATGTCGCTCGCTTGTAAAGATGCTATCGGAGCCGTTGCTGTAGGCGGGGATCCGGCCAGGCGCAAAGCCACAAATGCCATGAAGGGGCACGCACTGCCGGTTCTGTCGTGTTATTTTTTCGGTTATCATTGCAATATTGGAAAGGAATCGGGTTGCGGAAAAAAGTGTTTTGTGTGTGTGTCTCTCTCTCTCTCTGTGTGTGTGTGGAGATAAAAGGAAAAAACAGCAGCCCCAGGACGTCCTCCAAGGAATTGCGACGACTCAAACTCCACAACGGCGCTACAAAAATACTCATTTGCCACGAGAAAAAAAAGGAAATACAAAAAAAAAAAAAAAAAAAGAAGGTCCGGAAGGGCAGAAAAGAGGGGGTGCCACTCATCAGAGCGCTGCCTATTTCCATCGAGACTTACAAAAGTTACAAATACTGTGCAACCATACTTGTGTGCGTTGGTAAAAAAAAAAAAATCATTCCATTTCTTCCATTCCCACATCGGCTGCCACTATTCTCCTCAAATCTTTTTTTTTTCCTCTTTAATTTGTCCATCGCCAGCAATAAAAGAAGGACAATAACAATAATAAAAGGGGGTGCGCTCCCAAAATTTGCCCACGCACACTCAGAAAAAAAAAAAAAAGAAAAAAAAGAAGCGGGGAGTCAAAGATCGCGATAAAATTCACATAAAACTACCGCCACTCGTGCAAGGCACATGCCGCCCCATTTTTTTTTCTTCTTCTGTCTTTGTTTAAGTATATATAAATATATTTGTACGTACTTGTGTGTGTATCATATGTCTCACACAAGACACATGGCTGATTTAAACCAAATCCACGCAAAGGAGAGGGGATTGGAGACAAAATAGAAATAAAAAGCAAAAGAAAAAAGAAAAAAAAAAGATAATTTTAATAAATATAAATATAAATATATAGGCGGTACTGTTGTTTAAGCCAAACAATACGCCACAGCAATGAAAGAAAAAAAGAAAAAAAGAAAAAAAAGAAAAAAAAGAAAAAGCGGGCGCAATAAAATAAATGTCTCTCTCTCTCTCTCCCCCCCCCCCCCCCTTTATATATGTATATATACGCTTACATGTACATAGTGTACTAAATAAAAATAAAAACAAAAATTGACTTACACACAGGAATACATTTAAATAAATATATAAATATAAATATAAATATATGTATACATACACACGGGTGTAAACGTCGTGCTAACAGACACACACACAGACAGAAACAGACAAAAGGATTCTCTTTTCTTCTTCAGATAAAAACCAAACAACGAAAAACAAAGAAAAAAGAAAGAAGAAAAAAAAAAAAAAAAGAGAAAAAAAAAAGAAAAGGCAACCTCGTTCCCTTATTATTTTCAATCGGTGGAAGAAGGGGTTGGCGGGCGGGCGGGTGGGTGGGAGGGAGGGAGGGAATGAACATGTTTGTTACAGGCTCCTCAACCCCGAACTAATGCATTTATTGGCAATTGTCCTGAAAGGAAGCATGGAGCCAACCACCGCAGCAATCATGCTAAGACCAAAGAGCACACAAACTAACTCGTAAGGCAAAGTAAATCGAAATGGCAAAACCATTACCTCCACAAGCTGAAGTGCCAACGTTACTCCCACAATCGCCCCCACAACCACACCAAGTAAAAAGGCGGAAAGAACAATACTGAGGGCCTCATAAAGAATAATACGCGCAATTTGCCCTTTACGGCATCCCACTGCTCTTAATACCATAAACGTTCGAGAATTCAAACGCACATTGGCCACAAACGTTATCCAAAGCATTAATGTACAGAGGGAGATGCATATAACGGAGGTAAAATAAAAAAAGTACATAATAAATTCACGGATAACCCTCAAATCCTTCAACATCTCATGTGTATCACTTGCTGAGTGAAACGTCAAATCCAAATGTGCCTGAATTTCATTCAAAAAAGTAATACGTTGTTTTGTGCTAATGTTTTTTCGCAGCCGTACAAATAGTTTCTTTTGCCTAACCTCCGTCACGGTGCCTGGTGCTAATGTAAAATTCTCGTTATCCCCAAAATCCATGGCCCAGGGCTTCACCAGTGTCTTGAAGTAACTCCGTGGCAGCAGCACCTCACTGTCGATCAGTTTGTTAGGGAAAGGCGAGATGTCGGGAAATCCTGACACACGCCTCATAAGGCCTCGTGGTTCAATACCAAATCGTGTCGTTACAATCGTATCTGAGACGCGGTAATTGTATTCTAATATCATGCTGCCTCCAACTTCAGTACCCATACTATCACGAACTGCAGACGACACCAAGGCAGGTATAATGTAGGTTTTCTTGTTTAATATATTTGGCAATTCTACACCAAATGGAAGTCCTGTTCCAATGATTTGACCAACTGTACCGGAAGGCAAAGGTTTACGTTCGTACATACTTCTCACCAAATCATACTTACCGTCCACTGTAAGTTTGTAACTGTAGCGGGAGTCTTTAGCTTCTTCCATAATGTATTCTGGAAAAACAGTATTAAAGAAATGTTCAGACACCGCCACAATGCACATGGGGTTACGTGTTCCAATAATCGTACCTATTCGCGACGAATGAACCATTTGAGGGTAATTGTCAAGTGGAAAGCTGTGATATGCCCACTGTTCCACATACAAACCACGTCGTTTCTCCAGAAAAGCATTTAATTCCCTCTCGTCCAAAGGCACATCAAATGCGGAAGAGGCAATGTTGATATCGGCACCGTTCGTAAGACGCGTCATATCCTCAGAGGCATTCGACAACATCACAAACATCACACCGGAGGAAATAATGGTCCCAACACTAATCAACACCATCATAAAGGCCTTTGCATTACGACTTTGGTGATCATATAAATTCTTCTTAACAATTGTTAATAGTCGCTTTTCATTTCCCCACACCATTAACCAAAGAAACACCAGCTGAATGTACGGCTCTGCAACAGTCACAATAAAACATATACCCACCACCATAACGACAAGTACAAGGTTTAATAGTAGGAACAAAAGCATCATGTTTTCAAAGATAAAGCTGAATGGAATCAAGTAGTAAACAATAAACCCTGCCACGACAAGAAATGCTCCAAGGATCAATTGCCACGTTGAAATGCCCATTTCCTCCAGCTTAACCATCACAACCTTCGTTTCGTTTGACACCTGACGGTATACATCCAAGGCATCACGCAAACTACCTCCAAGGACACGTGAGAGAAGACCCCAACCTGTTAAAAGTGGCAGGACGAGGCCCAATCCAAGAGACAAAAACAATGGTATCAGCGGGACGAATAAAATGCGAGGTGTTGCCGCCGTGAATCGGGAGAGTAGAGACTCAATGAGGGCATTGAGCCCCACAAGAAAAGCTCCTCCAGTGGCTAAACCGGGAATAATAAAGGCCAATGATTGTGTCAATAGAAGTATCACAAGATGAGTCTTGTTCAAGCCTTGGGCTCGTATCATGGCAAATTCAAATCGACGTTCCTCCGCATTTGTGTTTAAGAGTGCATAAAACAAGAGAGCACAAAGTGCGACAATTCCAATCACAAAACATGTGAGAGAAGAAACAAGTATAATCTTCAACATATCAAATGAGTCCATGGCCTCAGACAAGGGGAAATATACGGTACCGTTGAAGTCCAGACCCACTCCCTGACGCATAATGACATTGCTTCGCTCCACCATTTCCTTTGTTCGATCTTCCGTTGGCAAATAATAAATATTACTTCGATCTGTCATGGTGACCGCAAGGGTAGGCACCTTTTCCAAAATATTAAACTGGGAGAGCATGGTGGGGATACCAAACATATCCATGGTCGAGGGTAAAAAAATTCCCCTTTTGGGTGTAAATGATTGAGGACCAAAAGAGCAACTTTGTTCGGCAAAGGCAGGTATAAGTTGCTTGTAGTCCACAATCACAATGTTCCCTAAAGCGGAGGGGTATTTCCCACGTGCACTATAAATGCCATCCACAACACTCACAGAAATATCAAAGTTTAAAACGTCCCAAACGCTGATGGACTTTTCGGTAATACCGTTCGTTTGAAAAAAATTGTAAAGCAAAATGGAGTTCACGTCGCTACGAGGGGTGGGTTTTTCTATACGAAACAACGTTTCATTTTCACTACGCATGTCATCTTGGAGGAGAGGTTTGGGTGAGAACTGAATGTTTATACGATCCCCAAGGTTTGGGCGAACATTCAGATAATCCAAAAGGGAATAAAATACATGCGCCTCCGAAAATCCCGTGTTACGATGTCCCCAGTCCCTCCCGATGCCGATTTTACGCTCTCGCTCACTGTCAATGAGAAGAACATTTACTCGTGCCACTTCCGTCAAGGGAGAAACGCTGTCATTGTCATTGGTAAATACATTTTTATGCTTGCTGGCCTCGCCGCGAAAGATCCAGCGTGGTGTAGCACCTTTTACATAGGGAGAACGCTCAAGTCTTGGGCCCATGTCGGTGTAGTTAATAAACGGGAGGTCAACGCTTCCGCCCATAATGACCATATCCATCTCCCCCGCACTTAATTCTCCGAGACGCAGAAGAACATATGGAACTTTCCAAATGCCTAACAAAACAGCTCCAGAAAAGAGCACAAGAAGTACAACGGCCAGAACACCAATACAACAATTTCGTGGTCGGTGTATTAGATCCGAAATTGTGTAGAGGCAACTCAGACGTAGAATGGCGCATAGCGAAAAGAAACCGCGTCCTGATAACCCTGACTTCTCCCGAAAGGAACCAGAAAAAAATGGCTCCGACGGGGAATCGTGCAAACGACGAGAATTGTTTGGATGTTGCCGTATTAACCGTGTGTCAGGGCGGGAAGTATCGGATGAATTTTGGGTATCATTAAAAGGCGCATAAAGTGCATTCCGCATTTGTGAAACGGAGAGACAAGCGAAGAGAGAGAGAAAAAAAGTAATTTAATTTAATTTAATTTTATTTTCCCCTTTCGTTGTTTTTTGTCTTTTTGTAAGTGTGTGTTTTTGTGTTTGTATGTGAAGGAAGGGGCGGTCGGTGGCAATTCTTGTCTTTTACCCTCCCCGCTTTTTTTTTTTGTGTTTTGTTTTTCTTTCAAATAATCTCAGTTTTTTTCTTCCCTACGATTTCTATCTTTGAATGCTCCTAAATAGTTTGTTTGGGTGCCGCTAACACTTCCTACCACGGCAACCGTCGCTTTACACACTCCGTTCGCTTCTCACAGGACACACACACACACAGGCAACAATCACCAGAAAAATAAAAATGAAAAGACGAGGGTGGGGAAAGAAAAGACAGAGACGTGTTGTGCGCCTGCAACGCCATAAAGGAAGAAAACAAAAAAACAAAGAATAGAGAGAGAGAGAGAGAGGGAGGGATATGTGGGGTCCCACACAATATATTTATGACCCCCTCAGTGTGATAGGGATAAGAAAAAAAAAAAAAAAGAGGAACTGTGGACTGTGAGCATCCCACAAACAAACACACACATGTACACAGAGAAACAAGGAAGATAGACTACAGCCAGCGGCAACAACAAAAACAACAACAACATTTGAGGTTGTCATGAACGGTTTGTTTGTCTTAACATGGTGAGTGCCTCCGCTATGGTGCAGGGCGGTGCCCGCGCGTACCGCTCCTCATCCACGGCTGGCAACCACTGACGCAAGTCCGCTGTGTGGTGATGGACAAGCATGAAGCTCCGGCACGGATTTACCACAACGTAGCCGTGACGCTGCAATTCGTACAAAACAATATTCTCTGCCTTGTAGCAGTTCTGTGGGTGCCGCACACTCTCCACAAACGACGCCTCCGTTGGTGGACGAAAAATGAATGCGTCATGTGATCCTCTGTACGCCTCAATGAGAGGGGCGTCACGGCGGTCCTCACTTTCGTACCGCGTCAAGGCCACCGAGAGGCGACGGGTAGGATCGCTATCAAACAACTTCTGCAGCTCCCGCACAGACGCCCCAACTTGTGGGAGATAAACATCTGCGTTGCAGATCATCGTCAGCTTCCCACGCAGCAACTTGTTGGCATGTTGAAACAGATCCGCGTATGTAGGCTGCGCCTCTGGCCAAAGCACCGGCACAATTTTACGCCTCATTTCTTTGGACTGAAAGAAATAATCGTCCTCCATGACACGTTGACGAAATTGGCGGTACGCCTCGGTGCCCTCGATGAGAATGTGGAGTGACACCACCTCCGCGTGTGCCGCGTTGCGTCGAATGCATTCCATGTACTCCTCCTGCCGTGCATCGCGGTGCCGCAGTGAGGCTTCGCCAAGAAAAATGCTGCCTGGCAGCCGCTTCACCACAAAGTACGAGGTCACAATGTTCATTCTACGGCCTAAGAGGGCAGATGCCCAACAACTCACTCACGCCCCCGTGAGCCCCTCTTCACCGTTAGAAAGAGTAGGGGAAAAAAAGCAAACCAAAAGTACAACAAAGCAACACACACACACACAAATACAAATACGAAAAAAAAAAAAAATAAAAAAAAATAAAAAATTGGGTGTGAGGGGATGTAGAGATGGAGAGGAAAAGAAAAAAAAACAATCAATAAAAGAAGGGACGAACGCTGCGGCACGGAAGGCACATAAAGATGTGCGTAAAATGGATCCTTAAGATGTACATATATATATATATATACCACAAGAAGTTCAGAGAAAAAAAAGTCCATTACGCAGCCACCCAATATCAACAAGAGGAAACAAAATAAAACACACACACACACACACACACAAATAAATAAATACACACAAGAAAAAAAGATAAATAAATATTTTATTTTCTCGAGGAACACCACGCATACATTCAAATGTCGTTGGTGATATTTTGGAAAATGTTTGATTTGTTTCATCATATTTTACTTTTACTTTTTTTCTCTTTTTGTTTTTGTTTTGTTTTCTTTCCCTGAAGATGACTTTATTTCTCAAAAAAGCACCGTTTTATTCCCACTCAACATGCAAGCTTTTCATTGCCACCTACCTTCCATCGCCACCCACTAAGCGTCATATTTTCCCTTCACAGTGTGTGTGTGTGTGTGTACTACTCTTCCCTTCTTGCGTATTAATGTCCGTCCGTCCGTCTGACAGCGCAAATATTCAAAAAAGGAAAAAAAGAAAGATTCAACGCATTCGGAAACAAACGGAAAGAAAAAAGAACCACCACCACTACTAAAGTAAAGGAATACATATATGTATGTATGTATATATATACATCCACATTTCCATTCAACTCTTCGGAGTATACTTAAAGTGACATACGGTTGTCTCATCGTACTTCTCTCCCTTACTCACTACTGTGCTAGGGAAGGAGGGGATGTGGGGCGAGTTTGGGAAGTACTGCGTCTCCAAGCAGATGCCACTGTGCCGTTGGAATCGCTCGCCTGCCTCACCGCTGGCATTCTCTGGAAGATAGTTCGCAGTGTACACGACAACCGCCGGTGACGTTGTATCCAATTGCAGAGTGATGCCTGTCTTGGGACTGAATAGGCGGCCCGCTTCATGCAGTTTGGAGTCCCACTTGTCGAGCGCGACAGGATCATCGTATCCTGGAGGATCTCGACCCTCCGCTTGCGTTGCCTCCATGCCTTCACGAATCGCGCGTAGCTTCTTGTAATCGTGCGGCGTTCCTTCCACCGACTTCATGGAGCCTGTAGGAATGAGCTCCTGCATCTCTGCCACGTAGCCGGAGTGAAGTTGCATGTGATGGTTTGTGATGGGCTCTGGAAGCCGACGCGGCCGTGACGGTACACCGTTAAGATTCCAATAAATGTGGTTGCAAAGGTTGATGACCGTGGACTGCGCCGGGGTGGAGGCGGCCAAAACCGCCTGCAGATTCCACTTAAGCGTTGCCGGCTCATTTTTCAAAATGACGTAGGTGGCCGTGACAAACAGCTCCCCAGGAAAACCCTGATCAAGGTGAGGCGATATGAGGTGAAAGGAGATGCCAATCTCCTCCTCCCCTTCCAACAGGATGTACTTCCACGGCCGGGACGAAAACCCCTCCGGCCCTCCATGTAACGTATTTTCGCCGTCATTTTGAAGCAGCTTAAAGGACTTTCCGTTCAATTCAAACTCACCATTTTCAATGCGACCAGAGTAACGGCCGCAGGTGCTGCCAATGTACAATTTGTCCTTCGCGAACTCCTCCGGTACGTCAAGTCCAAGTACCAGCTCCACCCACCCATCCTTGTCAGCAACGTCCCCGCCAGCCAGCTGCGGTACGCGGTACTGCACAGAGAAAACCGTGGCACCCTGCGTCAGCAACGACACGCGTAGGTTCGGTGACTTCAGTGTAATCTTGTGCCCATCACCAAATGGCTCAACGTGGCTTGAGTATTCCTTTGCATTCTCAGAGGAAATAATAGTCATTTCTTATGCTTATTCCTGGCCGTCGTAAAGGAGGGGAAAAACAACAACAACAACAACACACGCTTTGATCTTGCCGTATATTTGCTTATATATATATATAACTAGAAAGCTATCGTATGCTTTTCCATTCAAATAAACGAGATGTATGTGTTGGGAGAGACAAAGAGAGAGAGAGAGAGAGAGAGAGCGCGGCGGTGGCTGCAAATATTTACAGAAACGCGTCATTAAATCATATCGACAAATTCCCTTCCGTTTTTTCTCTCTTCGGAAAAAAAAAAAAAACAACAACACGCAAAACTGTAATGTGAGCAGCCGCAGTAAATGCAGCAAAGAGTAATAATAATAAGAAGAAGAATGAGGAAAAAAACATCCCAAAAAGTGGCGAGGCAAAGAAAAGTAAAAAAAATAATAATTAAAAAATAAAAATTTACAAGGAAATAGTAACGCATCCAATCATGACGGATGCTCTGTGAGATGAAATGCAGCGGGGGTGGGAAAGAAGAAAAAAAAGTAATAATTCGTCCGCGTGTCCAGTTTCATTCCACGTCTCTCGTGGCGCCGCCGTTTGTGGTCCATCTCATTCGCCCAAGAGCGGTCAGACCAGTGAGCACCTCCGCATACATCTGCACGCAGCGCATACCCGCCAACGTGTCAAGTTCTGCGGCGTAATGAAGTGCCTCCATTTCACGCAGTTTGCATGCAAAGGCATCCGCTAATTCACTGGCGTAGGCCGGGACTCCCTCCGCCCCCATCACTTCTTCCCCCTCCTCCTCTGCGCTACCCCGGCGAAAACTCATAGCGGGCAAGGGCGCTTCGCCTCTCTCAAATGTTCCTTTTTTTTTCAAAGGGAAGGCGCAAACAAATAAAGCCAAAAAAAAAAGGGACATCAACATAATCCTGCAGAATAAAATAAAACAGCAGCAGAAAAGCGGGGAAAAAAAAATATTTCATGTTCCAACGGACATGTTTACCACAAAACACGGGGAGATGTGGAATTCAAACATATAACGTACATAAGGCGACCAGAAATGAGGCAGATTCTGAGAGAGACTCCCTCCCTCCTTCCCTCCGTTTCTGTTGGCGTATTTATTTCCCTCTCTGTACATTGTGTGAGTAAATAGACAAAACCACATACATGTCAATTAAAAAAAAAAAAACAACCGCAAGTAAAAAAAAAAAAAAAAACAAGCCGTATTATTTCTTTCTTTCTTTTTCTTTCTACCATGAAACCCACTTTCCCAACCGCATTATAAAAGAACACACTCTCCTGATGTGCACATGTCCACAGCGCCACATTTACTTCCTCGTACATCTCCGGTATAGCTCCCAATGTGAGCAGTTCCATCCGCAAGAAGAATAACCACAAAAGGATTCAGGCAGCACTTCATCGCTCCGCTCTCTCCCCTCAAACCCATACGAGAATTAATATATACGCGTTTATTCTTCGGTTCCTTTTCCTTTTTTTCTTTTACTTTTACTTTTTCTTTTTCTTTAAAGATGAGTGGACACGTTTCTTCCCTTTTGTCACCTTCTTCTGTTCCTCCACGGTTCGTGCCGACGGGACTTTTGTCACAGAGGAAAGGACAGAGCTTCCAAGACGACTCTTGACCTTTGTGTATGACAACGCCTTCTCTTTGCTGATGTCAATATTTTTACCCTTGTTCTTCGTAAAGTACGTGCATAAGCCACGACTCTCTCGCTGCATTTCATGTAATTGCGAATTGCACCAATTTTCCCATTGCATGGATTTTGTCTCGCTGCATTCCTCAATGACATTCATTGCCTTTACAGTGAGTGCCACAACCATTGCGCGCCACCATGTATCAAAGCATAATGGAGCACGCCCCATTTCCCGCGTAAGGATCTCGGCGGTAGCGCGAAGAGACTGGTATGAATCCGTTGGTCCAATACGCCGAATCTGCGGGTGGAAATTAACAGCTGGAGGGAGAATATCCCCAGTGGTGGCCCGCGCTCGCTTTTGCAGGAGATTACTTGTTGTGGCCTCCCACGCTGCCAATTGTAAATTCTTCATTTTGGTTTCCCTCGTCGTCAAGCTATCTCTCATCTTTCTCTCGCTATCCCCCGCCTTCGTCTCAACACAACTTCCAGTGTCAGTTGAATGCATGGGGATGGCTGCTATTAATGAAAGAAGTTCATTAGAGTCTACCAGCGGCAGTTGGTTTCTTGTCGTGACTAAAGGAGATATCAAATTCAACAAATTCTCATCTTGCAGGGGCTGTAAAAGTGCATTGTAGAATGCACGATTGTTATGAAGGATATTTTCCAAAAACCTTGACGCGGTATGAGGATGTAAAAGAACCCCAATTAGACACGTCAAGTAAGGTGATGATCTAAATTGACCTACTAATGCGCCTGAAAGGTATGCATTCCGTACAATGGGGTGCTCACCAGAAACCAGTGAAAATGTTTTACTAATACACGCTGCCGCTATTGAAGGCGCAACCTCATACTCAGTCACCACCACCTTTGTTGAGGTGTTGCTACAGGCTCTGGCAGCAAAGATATTTAAAATCCGTACCGGAGTGACATCCACTTCATCTTCATACACTTCAACATCCGCGTCACCACTAGTGATGCCGAGAGATTCATTTAAATAGCTAAGGGCAGGTGATAAATCCTCCCAGCACTTACGTGTATCTTTTAAACTGCAACTCGTGTTCGCATCTTTCTGTGACGGGAAATCCACTGAAGATGATCCATCTCCAAAGGTAAACCTCTCGTGCGAGTCGTCCACAAAATCATCACAGGGGTCTCGAAGCAATTGCATGAGAGACCCCGAGACTATATCGTAGACACCGTTGATGAGGGGTGGTAGCTTAACGATGTCACAGCGGGGTGCCAAGGGTGCCTCACTCTGAGCACGGCCTTTTTTTTCCACAGAAGGGGTCGTCCGTCCACGTTGGGATTGAAGGGATGTTCTTCGTGGTAAGATGGTATGAATATACACATCGGCATTCTCTGCGTTGGAAAAGGAAGAGTTCAAAACAATTTTAAGGTATCGTGCAAATGCATCCAAATTCCAGCGGAGATGGTTTGAAGCCTCTTCGGAAATGTACCCAAATTCCACAGCATTGTTGAGGGTTGGCAAAATCCAGCAATCAAAAAGAATAAATTTCGCCAATCGGTTACCTTCAATGTTTCGAATAAGTCGCTCAATAGAGTCAGGTTTGTTTTGACTCCACATGTTGACCGTACCTCCACCCGTCACGCGTTTTTGCCGCATCTCTGTAAGACATTTCCTTACAGCTATAGCGGGTTTATCATGGGTAATGTCAAAGCTAACATGTTGTTGAAGTAGATGGAGATGTACCGTTGTACAAAAGTTCGTCAATAGTGTAGAAATACCTTGCGGAAGCCGTGTCACAGATCGCTTGCCAAACAATGCACTACAAAACTCTCCCATAACGTACTGAATGTCTTGACAGATGAGGTCTTCCAAGAGCTCCAGTCGTTGATTATGGGTAGCACGTTTTTGACCCGAATTTCGCCAGCATCCAACTTCAGGCCCAAAGCCAGAAACACCATCGCTGTTTCTGTCGCCGCTTAGGCTCAGCTGTGAAATCGATCCCTGAAAAGAGGTTTGTCGAGGGGCCTCCATTTCCAATCCATTTACATACAACAAAACGCTTTCTCGGCGAAGAATGCTAAACAACCGCTCCAGTAACTCCATCAACCATGTGGCACCATGGAGTCGGATGTATGTTGTAATAAACGTCAGTGGTGTTGAAAGAAGCGTTGCCCCTGCATGAAGATCTGGTACGGCGGCGGAGTCATTATATGTTTGGGTACGGGAAGCGGCTAGACGTTTCCTTCGATTCTTTCTATGAGCTAATGTTACAGAGTTTCTTTGTCGTTGCTCACCTGATCGAGTTTCTGCTATGCGTTGTCGTTGTAATTCATGGCGAGTTATAGCCTCAACAATCGTCATGGTGGCGTCATACTCCCTTACATATCCAACAATGTAGCCAGATTCTTTGCTCTGAACGGTACTCTCGTCAGAAAGTGCTTGTTGTTGGCTACTCTTTTTGCTCTCCTGCAATAATGATGTGTTGAAGGCCAAGCTTTGCGAAGTCAACCCCTTCTTTCCACGTGCAGGTGAAGTATTCGCTAAAACAAGAGAGTCATTTCTAGTTCGGGCCTCGCTGGAAATGAGACTGTTGGCGGTCGGCGTGTCAACAAACCAGTTAACAAGGGAAAAAAGTTCATCAAACGTTGTGTCCGTCAGCTTCCTCAGGGAGCTCCAGTCGATAAACTGAGATTCTTCGGCAGGCATGACGCCAGCTTCATCCTTGGTCGGCTCTTGTTGTTCGTTCTTTGTTCCGTCTTCCATGCTCTCAAAAGAGTTTTCATTCTTCTTGCTCGTCGCGCTAAAGACACCGGCATCATTGCCAGGAACAACAATGTCTGTTCCACACTGACGTCTCAAGGCAGCATTGCTCAAAAAAGAAGAGGCGGTGTCAGGGTCAAGAACAAGTTCCGTAAGAAATTCTTGGACACAGAGGGCCATCGATAATGTCGTACGTGCCGTGCTGTTCTCATATGCAAGAAGAATGTCTTCTGTGAGACGCTGCGCAACATTTAATGGACATAAAGACACATTCGATAAACTATATTTGGCACTGCGGATGCGTCGCTGTCGAATATCTATTGCAGTTTGTCGTTTGTTTTCATTCTTCAGGCACTCTGCTGTGTGAAGATGGAAGGAACTGCCAATAAGATCCAGTAGCACGTAGAGAGCCGAAATATGAGCGTGGTTGTAGCTATGATCATGAATGAGAAAAAAACTAAAAGGTGACAAACTCCACGCCACGCGATTCTCATACGTTTCACGCCATGTGTTATACTGACTGAAGAGAGGAAGGCCAACCATACGCGGGACTTCATGGCGTCGTCCACGTTTCTTTGCCACAAGAAGGCTGGTTGTCATCCTCTGGATTACTTCAGGTGCAGAAATAACGGCAAAAAACGGTGCAAATTGTTCCAATGTTTGCATGAGTTTCTCTTCCTCGCCCAACTCCGGTTTGTCCTCTTCCACCTCGCTGTCCATGGGAATAATTTTCACCGCTCCATCTTTTCCCTTTCCCTCCTCAGTGGTGCCAATAGCCGTATCATTGCTCGTCTTATCTTCACCTGGTTTCTTGTTGGGTGTTTTTTTTTGGCCCTCCAGCTTCCATGTGACGACTTCTAGTAGGCGTCGTTGAACACCTGCGGCAATTCTCCCACGTTTTTTTGCCTCCCGCTCAAACCATAACATGATGCGATTATCCATCAGCAATTGCCATGTCTCACGTTGAAGACGCAGCAGATCGTCCGCTGGGTCTGGAACCAACTTCCCTCCCTCATCCACGGACGAACCACGTGGGAACGCAGTCCTGTTTGACGCATTCACCTGTGAATTGCGTAAAATAGAAGGAAATCTCAGGGAAGAGGAAGCATCCAAGCCAAGTGGATTTCGCAGCAGCTGCGACGAGTTCGCCTCACCTTCGTGTTGACTTAAAAACGAAAAGACATTGGCCGAGAAAAGTTGCTGGTCGCTGAGGGACTCCAAAAAGTCACCTACCGTTGACCGCCGTTGAACGTCAAGGAAGGATCGTCGAAAACCCTGTGTGGACACCGAGCCACCTTTTCGCCGCGACGGTGACGGGGCGGAGTGCCGTGAGCCTGAGGCCTCTATCATTTCCATCTCTTCACTATCCAAAGAGACGGTCTGAATGCTAGCACTGATGTTGTTATCATCAATTTTTTCTCTTGACTTCAATCTTAATGCGTTGGCTGTCATCACCTCCAAATTCTGCGGCATCGGCGGGGCGTACGTGCAGATGCCATACTGCTTCAGGTACAAATTGCGCCACTGGTAGTCATTCGACTTGGGTGCGGGAAATAGCGTTTTCTGCATGTCGTCAGTCTATTTTTGTGTATGCACATATATTTATATTTTTATTTATTGTATGAATGTGTGGGAAGGAAAAAAGATATTGGGTGTGGGTATCATGAAGAGAAAACAAACAAACAAACAAAAAAGAAGACATGATTCAAACACGCATCCGCATAAAAAAAAAAAAAAAGATTACAGGCAGATTGATTTTGTGTGCAGTGACGCCGGAGAAATTGTGAGACTCCCCTCCACCCCCCACCCCCCCACCTCTCTCTCCCTTCAACACAACAAAGACGCATGAAACAAAAACAAAAACAAAAACAAAAGGGGACGAAAAAACAAGAGAGAGAGAGAGAGAAAAAAAAAAAGGAAAGGGAAAGGGAGGAGGTAAATAAAATTCCTCTTCTTGCCTCCGTCTTCATGTATATGTATTTATATAATTACAAACATATAATATATTTTGCAGAACTGTCCTGGATTCCCCTCTCCCTCCTCCTCCTCCTCCTCCTCGAAGCACAAGCACAAACTTCTTTCGGTGAAATAAGATTAAAGACAGCCACGATAAGCCGATACATACACACAGACAAAAAACACACTTCACGTCACTCACTCTTCATGCTGCCATTCAGAATCAACGGAGAAAAAAAAAATGAAAATCAAAAAAGAAAAAAGAAAAACAGAAAGGAACATAGATAGACAGATGTGTGCCCATCTAAATTAGCTAATATAATATAATGATAATATATATATATACACCTACATGCAGAAACAAACAAAAAAGAAAAGGGGAAAAGAAATATGTTCATAGATCGTTTCTTCTTCTTCTTTTTTTTTTTTTTTTTTCCTCAAGAGAACTCTCTAAGAAAAACACATTGGCCTTTTTTTTTCTTCTTTTTTTTTTTTTTTTGGGGGGGGGGGGTTTCCCCCTTCCCCTCCGCCGCAGTGCTCCATCCATCCTTCTTTCCTTCCTTTTTTTTTTCCCTCTCTCTTGTTTTCTTGCCTTTGCTATCGCTCTCACTACCACACACCCACAAATTCTCTTTTTTTCTTTCTTTTTTTTCTGTTTGTTAGTTTTATATTTCCTCTTCGTCGTCGCGCGATGCCAGCAGAAAAAAAAAGAAAAAACAACAAACCCAAACCCTTCTCCCTTTTTTTTCCCCCCATTTTTTTTTTTTGTTCCTCGCACATCATCGCGCAATGCTGGTGAACTTCGCGAGCAGCAACCACGCGGTGAACAACAAAAGAAGAATGGAACCCGCAAGTTGTGCCACGTCTGTGTTGAAGCGTTTCGGCTTCAGGCCAATGTTCGACAGGTATTGAAGGCACATGATTGGGATGCTTGTTGATGACGGCTTCCCCGTTTCGTCGGTCGGAGAAAATGTGCAAGCCTGCCCGTCAAGCTCATTCACAAGCAACGCCTCAAAGGCGGCAAAAAAAGGCGACATCACTTGAAAGGGTCGTAGTGCTGCTGGCACCGTCTCGGACTGCACGAGAAACCCACCAAAAACAAAATTCCACAAAATAAAAACACTACTAAGTAACGCTGCCGCTCCAAACGATCCCGTAATGATTCCAATGCATAGCACAATAAGTGTAATGCAGATGGAGAAGAGCACCACAATAACAACAAACCAAAAGAAGTGCACCCCATCGTCTACGCGAAGTCCCATAGGGAAGTAAATAAGCGACGCAAGCACCATCGCAGGGACGATGCGGAGTGGAAGAATATCAATAAATATCTTCGAGAGAAGGTACGGCAGAGTGCGATAAAAACCATTTTCCCGTTCCACCACAAAGAGCTTTCGCTCGACAACAAGCTGCTCCAAGCAACTGAGCGAGACAAAGGAAACAACAAGCAGCATAAATGTGATGGATCCGGCACGGTTCAGTGCCCCAGGGAGGTCAAGTCTTTGATCGTGATACAGCACCATCATGAGGCCCCCAACACACGCCGTAACCGCCGCGTGACACAAAAGCAGATGGAAGGACGAAATAAGGCAGCATGCGGCCCGTGAACTTAAGAGCGCAAGCTGCTGGTACACATTCGCATAATAGACGTGAAGGGTGGATGCATTGCGGAGAATATCATCGCCTTCTACAAGCGCTTCACATTCACTTACGCCATTTGTGCCATTGTTTTCGCGGGGTTCCCGAAAAAATTCCGTTCCCTCGTGTTGCATCATGCCAAATCTGGAACTCACATCCTCCGCCTGAATCTCCATGCGGGTAGTGTCGTCAAGAATATCTTCCAACTTCATGAGGTACTCCGCATGATTCGGATGATCGGCAGAACGCGGAACCGACTTTGCATCACCCACAATGCGTTCAATACGCTTTTCAAGCGTCTCTGCCGCGATACAGGCCGGTCCACAGTAAATACTCACCCCACGGGAGAGCAACAGGAGTTTATCAAACAATTCAAATATTTCCTGCGATGGCTGGTGAATACTAAAAATGACAATGGGCTTGAAAGCAAAATAATGCGGCGCATACGCCTGCATGGGTGACTCCTTTGCCAATTCTACCACAGACTCCATAACACGTTTTGCACTGACCGCATCTAGACCACTTGTTGGCTCATCCAAAAAAAGAATACGTGGATTCGCAAGCAATTCAACCGCAATAGAGACACGACGCTTCTCGCCCCCGCTCACACCTCGAAGACCACTCCCATCACCAATCACAGTGTGTTCACATTGTTGTAGTCGCAGTGCCTCTATCATGTGTCGAACAATACTTTTAATGGTCGTGTTAGAAAAGGCCTGTGGAAGTTTCAGTCGCGCCGCGTATTCAATTGTCTGATGCACAGTCAATGCAGGTAGTAAAGTATCCTCTTGTGAGACATACCCAATGATGTTACGGTATTGCTTAATTGACTTAGCCGAGGCCGTGTTGACGGGTGTGCCATTGAGGGAAATGGTTCCTGTCGTCCTGCCCTGTTTACTTCGTGCTGAGAGGAGATCCAGCAAGGTTGTTTTGCCTGCACCAGATGGACCAAGAATGGCAAGCACTTCGCCGGAGCGCACCGTGAAGTTCACTCGGTTCAGAAGTGGACGTGTTCTCGTCTCCTCCTTTGAGGCAAATCGTGAGCCGGGCAAGGAGTAGGCAAGGTCCATTAACTGCAGCTCAAAAGGGGACTTTGTGAGACGACGAAAGTACTCAATGCGGTCCGCTTCGTGTGGCATGGCGATGAGAAGGCGTCTGGCGTCACTCGTGTGCGATCCGCCGGGCTGCCTGTGGAAAGAGAGCCCAATGGACTCCGTACCGTTGGAGCTCACATCCTCCTCTGCAGAATCTCCTCGCAGGGAAAGTCGGTTTTGCTGCTGCGGCTCCTTTTTCTCCAGCAAAGAAGTTTTGGCAGGAGTACCACTGCTATCGCTCGCTACATCCAGAGAACACCGTTTTTCCAATTGCGGTTGCGGCTCCGAAAGACCAAACATGCGTACAAACTCTGCAGCCCGCTTGCGCGATGCGGAGCGGAGCCACAAGGCGTGCGCGGTAATCAAGAGCACCACTACAGTGAGCACGAGGGTGAGGATAAAAAGGAGGTCCCGCTGCGCCTGCACCGTCTCTGGTTGAACCATCTTTGGTTCATTGGGAAACTTCTTCGTGTCAACACACTCGCTGGCATTGCACTCAAGGTCAAACATGAGCGTGATGTCTTCCATTGTTAGTTGACAGTGACGCGTACGTAAATTACATGCATATCGAATACTATTTCTGATAAGCGGCAAAATCTTATTACCCACAAGTGACTTTGAGCAAACAGGGTCATATCCCTCAGGTGGATCTTTGGAACAGTGACACTCCGTGTGCTTACATTTATACACGGCGTATACATCGGAGGCTTCAGACCGCATTAAAATGAGCATCACACTAATAAACAGAACCGTGGAAATCGTCAAGCTGACCCCCAAGCCAACCACAATCTTTGCCTTGCGACGGTAGCCGAGTGTAGAAGATACAAAACGCAGCAAGGCAATCAAAGCACATATAGTGAGAATCACCACTTGTCCTGTCAACACCACCGCTTTAAATGCACGACTCGGTTTCAATGGATCGTTGCTCTCATTACCCTTGTTTTGTACCACCAACTGCATGGAGCATTCTGAAGTGTTGCAGTGGAAAAAAGGGTCTACAAATTCACGATGGGGCTCAATGCGGAATAAAGTGAGGCTACACACGCCCCCCTCGCCTGCGGCAAAAGCGGTACCATCCTCCGTGCTGCAATTCAATGCGACAACCGCCTCAATTGCTCGACCGCCCCCGAGTATAGATAAAAATGGCGAGTTCAGTGAGCATTCAAACTGTGTGCCGGATCCACGTATGGCGAGAGCATGTTGACACACACTGGATGCGTCAAGCTGGGCAGCGCACACTTCATTGCGCTGGCACATTTCGCAGCGCAGACCTGTAAAATTACTATCCTCGGGACATTTGCAGTCACCATTTCTCATTATGCCTCCATTCATGCACTTATCGTCGTCACTTTCTTCGAATGCAGCCATGCTCATAAAAGAACGAAAGCCCAGACCACTTGGATCCCTGCTAGGTTCAGACAACAGAAGCTTTTTATACCATGAGAGGAATACATCCGGCGACACGCCCGTCTCTTCACACCACACACACGACGGTAGCAACACAAGGACAAGAAGGCACACAGCCTCCCTAAGAAGTCGTGATTCCCTAAAAGCATGCATCTACAAGCAGAAAAAAAAACACAACAAAAAAAATAAAAAAACAACAACGAAAATAATAATAATAAAAGAAGGCTAAACTCTAAGAAGCACCTTTAAAAGGAGAAGAGCAAAAAAAAAAAAAAAAAAAAAGAGAAAGAAAGAAAAAGATACGTGACGGTTTGCTTCAGTGTGCCCGCAAAAACATTCCCCTCCCCACCCCGGATGGGATCCATCCAACTACACCCCCCTTCCCCTTCTCACCCACGGCAGGGTTACAAATAAATTCAACAGAAATAAAACATGAGAACCGGGACGGCTGGGAGGTGACCACATCGGCAGTCTCCTCCTCAGGCCCCACAAAACCCACCAGGCTTCCCTCCACATGGAGATTAGTAGCCTTCGCAGTGCCACAGTGAGTGCGTCGAACAACAACAAGAAGAAAGAGAAAAAAAAAGAGCCGCACAAGACCCCTCTTTTCAACGCGGTTTCATGAGAATTAAAAGAAAAAACTAAACAAAAAAAAAGTAAAATTATTTTAAATAAACGGGGGAAATGAACAAGACATGTCAGCATCTACTAATCCTCCACCTCATCCGTTCACACATTCCTTTCCACAAGCTTTTAACCAATAATAATAATAGAAACCAAAACCAAAACCAAAACCAACAACAACAACAGCGCTCCATGCCCCCACGGCATCGCTACCAACAACAACAACAACAACAAAAGAACAAAAGCCCAAAAACGTCAAAGGATCCACAAATAAGGAGAGAAAATCAACAATACGCTCATCCAATCATTTCTTCATGTCCGTTCGCACATCCCTTCTACAAGCTGCTAAAGAAAAAAGAAAATAGCTCCCTTACAAAAGACGTTTTAACGAAGGAGTACACAAAAACCTTTGACTCTACCTACTATCTCCCTCTCCCGCTCGTGCACATTGACTCATTGTCCAAGTGTGGCCATGTCAATGACAAAGCGATACCTCACATCACTTTTCATCACACGTTCGTATGCTGTATTAATATAATCGATGCTGATTAGTTCAATATCCGATACGATGCCGTGTCTGCCACAGAAGTCAAGCATCTCTTGTGTTTCGGGAATGCCTCCGATGAGTGAAGCGCCGATTGACTTGCGCCCCTTCAGTAGCAAAAAGGGTGATACCGGCGGGTGCGGGTTCTCCGGCAGACCGACCAGTATGTGCACACCATCCGTCGTGAGGGCGAGAATGTACGGCGACAAGTCGTGCGTGTTTCCAACGGTGTCAATAATAAGATTGAGCGTGTTCTTAACCGCCCTCATCTGCCCCGGGTCCTTCGAGATGACGACGTGGTCCGCGCCGAGCATCCTGGCTGCCTCCCGCTTGCCCTCACTCGTTGTAAAAACAGTGACCTCCGCACCCATCGCCTTGGCGATCTTCACTGCCATGTGGCCGAGGCCGCCAAGCCCCACAACACCCACCCTCGTCCCCGCTTTCGTGCCCCAGTGCCGCAGGGGTGAGTAAGTCGTGATACCGGCACACAGCAGTGGGGCGGTCGCGGCAAGATCAAGGTTGGAGGGGATGAGCAGCACAAAGCTCTCCTTTACCACAATGTGGTCAGAGTACCCACCATACGTGGGTTCGCCGCTGACGCGTGCCCGTGAGTTGTACGTCGAGGTCGTTCCTTCCACGCAGAACTGCTCAAGGCCCCTCTTGCACTCCACACACCTTTCACATGAGTCCACCATGCAGCCCACACCAACCGTGTCTCCCACCTTGAACTTCTTCACGTTTGCACCAACCGACGTTACATGACCGACAATCTCGTGTCCAGGCACCATCGGAAACAGGGACCCACCCCACTCATCGCGCGCCTGGTGGATGTCGCTGTGGCACACGCCGCAGAACAAAATCTTGATGCTCACATCATCGGCCCCAACAGCACGTCGCTGGAAGCTGAAGGGTGCGAGGGGGGCCTTTGCTGACGGCGCTGCGTAACCTTTTGCGTTCGTTGCCATTACGCTTACTCTGGTTTCACGGTATATTCAATTCACTTGGAGAACAAATAGGATTCTACAATAAAAGGGGGAACAAAGTGATTATTTGTAATGGGGGAATGGAAAGATCCCTGTGACGGCCACAGTACAGGGAAAAAAAGGCAGGAGAAGGTAAAGTATTTTGGGAGGAGGAACACAACGCACCAAAATGGCGCTCAGCGTACCGGTGGTGGTAGTCCCCGCCAGCACCACATGCTCCATGTGTGTCTCAATGAGACTCTCGGTCCCCTACACAGCGAGTTGACACGCTTGGAGTGAGCCGTTGGCCCCCTTTTGGGGTCAATCGATATCCCCTTCACGGGGACGTGGTGTCGCGCCATCTCCTCTTCTTTCGCGTCCCCTGCAGAGCTTCAAAGTCAACAAACGAAAAAGAAAACAAAAACGAGTTCTCTCCTAAACAGATAGTGTACCCCTGAAAATTCTTTTCCTCTGCTTCCTTTCATTTTTGCCCAAATGGATCCACGCATAGATGAGACATAATTCCGGGCTGGCTACAGTCACGACCCTTCCAACAATGTGACCGCACACAATAAAAGGAGGTGCCGTCATAGGTGCACGCCACACAGACCTCCACAAACTGAACCCCACGCGAACCCAAGCCGCCGAAACCAATTATGATCCTCAAAAAGATGTTGCAGTACCTCCCTCCGGCATGTCGACAACGATACAAATACGCAAACAAAAACCTTCCGGCCGCAAGAAAAACAAACAAAAAACAAGAAGGGGATCAACAGCAATGAACACCGACAGAAAGAAAGAAAAAACAACAAAAAGCCACAGACAACAATATTTCGTGCATGTTACAATGCAATTCAGGGAAGCAAAAAGGCCTGCTCCACCGATAGGGGCAACTCCGCCGCAATGCTCCAAGTCATACGAGTCCCACACAAATTCCTTCTCTCATCGGACCCACCGCTACTCAACAGACGCTGCCGCTTCTGCGCATTCCTCCAGTAACCCTCAGCAAAGGGGGGTGCAGCGGCATGATACTCACGCGCCTCCTCTTCAAACAGGGTAGCCAACTCCAACAACGTCTGCCTGAATAGCGCACTTTGTGCGTTCGTCACGCCGCTAATTTCCTGCTGACGC